CATTATTTGGTTATCTACTGTTGTATAACAAACCACTCAAAATCTAGTGGCTTAAATACAACAATGTATTATTTTTCATGATCCTGTGGGTTGACCGGCTGGTTCTTTACCTTCAAAGAACTAATTTTTAGTTTGTTGATTTTCTCTATTGTTTTTCTATTCTCTATTTCACTTTTTTCTACTCTAATCTCTATTATTCTTTGTTTTCTTTAGGCTTTGTTTGCTCTTCTTTCTCCAGTGTCTTAAAGTGGAAGATTAAGTTAGTTACTGATTTGAGGTTTTTCTTCTTTCTGAACAAAAGCATTTACAGCTATAAATTTCTCTGTAAGCACTACGTTAGCCGCACTCCATAAGCTTTGGCACGTGTTATCTTCATTTTCATTCACCGCAAAGTATTTTCTGATTTCTCTTTTAATTTCCTCCTCCTTGACCCACTTGTTATTTAATAGTAAGCTTATTAGTTTCCTAATATTTGTGAGTTTTCAAGTCTTGATATCTAATTTCATTCCACTGTGGTTGGTGAACATACATTGTATTATTTCTATTCTTTTAAATTTATTGAGGTTGTTTCATGGACTTCATATTGTGTATCCTGAAGAATGCTCTATGTGCACTTGAAAATTATGTATATTCTGTTGTTGTTGGATGGAGTGTTTCATAGATGTCTGTTAGATCTTGTTGGTTTATAGTGTTGTTCAGGTCTTCCATTTCCTTGTTTACCTTCTGTTTAGCTGTCCTACCCATTATTGAAAGTGGGGTGCTGGAATTTCCAACTATTATTTTTGAATTGTCTATTTTGAGTTTTTTCTTAAGTGGTTGCTCTTGGGTTTATCACATAAGCGTTTTACCTTCAGCTTCAGATTTATACTCAGCTTAATTCCAGTGATATGTAGAAACATTACTCCCTTATATTTCTATTGCATTTTCCCTCTTTTGGTGGTAGTATTGTTATACCTGTTACATTATTAATGTTACAAATCCAACAAGACATTATTACAATTACTTTAACATCTGTAGTCACTTCCTTAACCCATTATAACTTTGTTCTCATCCATCTCCTTTGGGCTGTTATTGGCAAATATATTATACTTCTATATGTTATGGGCCCAATAATACATTATATACATATTATTTTAGACATTACTTTTTAAAATCAGTTAAGGAAAGAAAGGAGAAAAAAGTATGCATTCATACTTTTATAACTATATAATTGTATTTATGGGTGCTCTTTTGTTTTTTCATATGGATTTGAATTACTTTTTGGGTCATTTGCTTTTAGTCTGAATCTTTTCTTTTAGTACTTCTTGTCAGTCTGCTAGCAACAAATTCTCTCAGTCTTTGTTATCTGGGAAAGACTTTATTCCATCTTCATTTTTGAAAGACAGCTTTGCCAGATATAGATTCCTTATTTCTAAATAGATATTCAAGGTCAGAACACAGTGGGATCAGTGGGATAACACTGAAAGTGCTCAAAGGAAACCACTCCACTGGGGCATAAATTGTCCTACAAACCAACCCAAATTGTGGCTTCTTTAAAGGTCAGTGTTTGATATTTGTTCTTACTCATGAAGGCTCCTCCCACATGTAGTATTCTCCCATCCTCCCCACTATTCTTGAGAGTACCCTTAGCCTTGAACTTCTCCAGGCTCTGCTGCAAATGAGGTCAGTTCCTTTGGGGAGAGATTAGGAGCTTTTTTAGAGTCTGCTTCTCCCCACAGGCAAAATCTCTGAGCCAGATTCTGGAGCCGGGAGTGTGGACAACAGCAAGCTTCTCTTTGAGTGACACCCTTCCTCCCCCTGCTCTAGGAGTTGGTGCTTGGTGGCAGTACGGGGGGAGCCTGGTTTGCCTCTCCTGGCATGGAGCCACTACCCTGCAAGCCAGGGCAAGGGTGATCAGGGCTTCAGCAATGTCAGAGTACCACATCCAAGCCTCCATTTCATGGGTGGATGCTGGACAGAATAAGGGAGCCTCCATCTCTTGACTGCACTTGCCTAGGACTTAGGTCTTTATATTTATTTTCTACCTTTTATACTAATGTTTAAGAATGTAATTTAAAAAAACTGATCTTGTATTCAGCATCTTTGCTAAACTGTATTAGTTTTAATAATTTGACTGTAGAGTCTCTTGAATTTCTATGTAGCTACTTATTTTGTTTGAGATTAATGATGATTTTGTTTCTTTTTATCCATCCCATGTACTTTTTAGTTCTTTTGCTTTTCTTTCTGTGTAGTCTAGGATTCCAATATAATATTAAAGAAACTTAGTTTTGGGAGGCATCCTTTTCTCATTCCTGTTTCTAAAGGAAATGCTTCAAACATTTCACCTTTAGTAATATTTGCACTAGGTTTTTTTTTTTTTAATGTTTTATTTATTTATTCATGAGAGTCAGAGAGAGAGAGAGAGAGAGGCAGAGGCAGAGGGGGAGGGAGAAGCAGGCTCCCCGCAGAGCAGGGAGCCTGATGCGGGACTCGATCCCAGGACTCTGGGATCATGACCTGAGCCGAAGGCAGATGCTTAACCATCTGAGCCACCCAGGCGCCCTGCACTAGGTTTCTGATATATAATTTAATCAGGCCATAGAAGTTTCCTTGCATATCTAGTTTATTAAGAGTTTTTATCATAAACAATCATATTAGCTAACATTTACTGAGTACCTACAAGGTGTTGGACATTGTCCTAAGCACTTTACATAGATTAGCCTATTATATGTTTATAACATATCTCTGAGGTTATTATTATTCCTATCTCACCATAAGTAAACAGGTTCATTGAAGTTAAATAATCTGTCCAAGTTCAGTAGTAGAACTAGAATTTGAACCCAGAAGTCTGGCTTAAGAGCCTGGGGTCTTAACTACTTTTCTGTATTACTTCCTTATATTGCATTCTATATTGAATTTCCTCAATTGCTTTTTCTACATCTGATTTGTCCAAATGGTTTTTCAACTAATTTACTAATGTGACAAACTACATTAATAAATGTTTAAACTGTTAAATTCTTTGAATTTCTAGGATAAATTCAACTTAAATCACATCTTTATAAAAAATACATTGATAGATTTCATTTGCTAATATTTTACTTAGGATTTTTACATATATGTTCAAAAGTGAGACTGACTCACGATTTTCCTTTTTTTGCTTGTTTTGGTACCCGCATTATACTAGCTAAACTCATAGATGAGTTGGGGCATGCATTTGGTGATATTTAATCTTCATTACTGGGCTGATAAACATAGTTAGCATCAACAGCTAGCTCAATAGTTTAGATTCCTGGACAACTTAGAGAGGTTTCTGACATCCAAGCCAATGCTAATAAGCAGTGGACATCTGGGGCATCTGGGGCATTTATTACTGAATGGTGGTCGAGGATGGCCAAAACTGGCAAAAGAGCTTAATGTAACCTGTCTCCCAAAGTCTGAAGGTAGTTGATCCTTAATCTGATTTAAATATTGATGGTTGTCTTTTACTCAACCATATTCACACCCAAATAGAAGTAAGGATACTTTACTAAGTGCTTTATTTACAAAATACTTCAGTATTTTTATCTCACTGAATTTATCCAGTATTCTTTAAGAGTCACACTATGTCCATCTTACAGATTATCCTCTATTTTATAGATTAGTTAAGTGAAGATTACTCAACTAAGCTAATCAGTTAGTAAGTGAAATGAGTTAAAAAATCAAACCTATTTTTCTTCGCTTCAATTACATCAAGAAAGTATTTCCTGTAGAAGAGACTGGAGCTCCTACAGTGACGATGATTAGCATCTCAGTTGTCACTGACAGTACCAAGAATGAAATAATGAATTTTCAAAGGGGGACTGGAGGAGCCTCCATTTCTGCTGATGGTACTGAAAGGCTCAATTTACTATGAATGTTCCCATGAGAATTTTAATATATCTCCAACTATAGAGGTTGTTAATCTATTTTTAAACAAAAATGACTGTATTTCTGCTAGTGACCATTTTCCTTTTTAAATTTGTTTTTATATTATTTCTTAAAATTCAAGTATAATTAACAACAGTGTTATACTAGTTTCAGATACACAATATAATGGTTCAATAATACCATACATTTCTCAAGTGTTCATCAAGATAAGTATAGCCTTAATCTTCTTTACCCATTTCACCAACCCCCATGCTGTAGCATCTGCATATACAAGTTGCCACTCAGCAGCCTCTGTTCTCCTCAGTAGAGCTTGCTCAGATATTATGGGAGGCTCAAAGAACTGTTTCTGATAAACCTGTAGAGCTTTGGTGTACCAGATATATCCACCTCCCCTCTGGTAACCACCAGGTTGTTCTCTGTTTTTTTTTTTTAAAGCAGGCTCTAAGCCTAGCATGGAGCCCAACATGGGGCTTGAACTCACAACCCTGAGATCAAGACCTGAGCTGAGATCAAGAGTCGGACACAACCGACTGAGGCACCCAGGTGCCTCTGGTTCCCTGTACAAGAGTCTGTCTCTTTTTCCCTTTGTTCGTTTGTTTCCTAAATTCTTAATTCCTTAAATGAGTGAAATCATGTGGCATTTGTCTTTCTCTGACTGACTTATTTCACTTAGCATTATACCCTTTAGGTTCATCCATGTTGCTGCAAATAGCAAGATTTCATTCTTCTTTTGTGACTGAGTAGTATTTCCTAGTGTATATGTGTATATATGTCTACTTTATTCATTCATCTTCTTCATCCATTCATCTATCAATGGACACTTGGGTTGCTTCCAGATCTTGGTGATTATAAATAATGCTGCAATATACATAGGGGTGCATATTTTTTTGAATTAGAGTTTTTGCTTTCTTTGGGTAAATATACAGTAGTGGAATTACTGGACCAAATGGTAATTCTATTTTTAATTTTTTGAGGAACCTCCATACTGTTTTCCACAGTGGCTGCACCAACTGACCAGGCATTTTTCTAAGCACTACATAGGGTTGGACAAAGTTGAAATAAACAAAAAGAGAAAACTTTCTAATATGATTATTAATAATTTGGAAACATCTTACCATAATGTAGAGCTGTCTGACCTTCGTTATCCTGTAAAAGAAACAAATAACACATTTTAGAAGTCTACATTATTGCAAAAGTATGAAAGTACATAAGCTATAGCAAATATATCTGGTACACCAAAGCTCTACAGGTTTATCAGAAACAGTTCTTTGAGCCTCCCATAATATCTGAGCAAGCTCTACTGAGGAGAACAGAGGCTGCTGAGTGGCAACTTGTATATGCAGATGCTACAGCAGAGTCCCAGGAAAATCAGCCTGCAGGTACTAAACCAAAGGGAACCTCTTAACATGTGGCAGTCTGATTACCCAATTAGAGGCAAAAAAAACCCTGACACTGTATATCCTTTATCTTGGTTAATATTATAATGTTCTTTCTAAGTTTATAGCCAAATTTATCTAAGAAGTCTGTGATTTTTCATAGAAGTTAATAGCTTTTGGGGCGCCTGGGTGGCTCAGTCAGTTAAGCGTCTGCCTTCGGCTCAGGTCATGATCCCAGCGCCCTGGGATGGAGCCCCACATCGGGCTCCCTGCTCAGTGGGGAGTCTGCTTCTCCCTCTGCCTCTGCTTCTGCCCCTCTCTCCACTTATGCTCATGCTCTCTCTCTGTCTCACAAATAAAATCTAAAAAAAAGTTAGCTTTTTAATCCCCTTTCAAATAGTCACAAATTCCAGGTTCATGATATTATCGAGTATTATCAGATCAAATATCATAAAGAAACATGATTTCAAAGCACACAAAGTCCTAGAAGTTAAGAAAGTCAAAAGTTCCCACAGATAACTCCAATAGCTCAGTTAATTTTTTTATTCTTTTAAAACCAAGATATTCTAACTATATATACTAATTATAGCACATATAAGTACCTTTTAGCAATGCTGCCTCTTGAGAGCAGGTGATCATATTAATAAGTAACAAATAAATCAGGATTAAGTACAAGTAAGAAGTAGAATTTAGTAGTTAATTTGATATTCACTTAGTAATATGCATAGCCACTATTGTACCCCTGGTAATTAAGAATAAATACTTAATTATTGTGAATAAGTGGGAAAGAGTGATATTATGACCTAATCAACTATTCCTGGGCACACCATATCTACTTTCCTCACTTCTTAGAAGTTGAATGTGAGGGTTGATCCCCAGAACTTTTGGCTATGGTTCTATTTAATCCCTGGGTTGATTCCCAGAACTTTTGGCTATGGTTCTATTTAATTTCCTATGGCAGGAAACTTCTTTTCTGGTTCAGATAAGTAGTAAGAAAAAGTCATTCCTTAAGGGCTTTTTAACACCTAGAGAAAGTTTGCAGGGGTGACATTTGGGGGGGCAGAGAGACAACCTTGAGGCAATATAGCTTAATTAAACTGTTTTCCTACCAGAGAATAGGAATTCTTATTGGATTTGGGGGTGAGGTGTGAGGAAGTGAGTGGAGATCTGAAACAAGTAATTCTGAGGGACCTTGGGAGTTGGGCAGACTTGGCTGACTTCAGCCAAGTGGCTAAGTCTGGGATGCCCATCGAAGATCATTAGGATAATAAACTCTAAGGGAAGTAAAAGATGGAAAGGAACACTAAGAAGTCAGGAAGATAACAAAATATTTTTGCCTCCTTTGAAAAAAATTTTAACTGAAGTATAGTTGACATACAATGTATTAGTTTCAAGTGTACTACTTAGTGATTCAACAATCATATACGTTACAAAATGCCCGTTTCTTTTTTGTCTTTTTTAATATAGCCCCCACCTTGCTCCCCGCTCCCCTTTGCCTTGCCCTGCTCTTGAGGTTAAGGACAGGTAGGGGAATGGAACAGAGGCAGCTACACAGTAAACAGGTGACTGCAGCTCCCAATAAGAAGATCTGTCTGGACTTCCACAACTGTAAATGCTCTTCCCTCTGCTTGAAAACCATCTTCTGATCTTTTTTTTTTTTTTAAAGATTTTATTTGTTTATTTGACAGAGACACAGCGAGAGAGGGAACACAAGCAGGGGGAGCGGGAGAGGGAGAAGCAGGCTTCCCGCCGAGCAGCGAGCCCGATGCGGGGCTCGATCCCAGGACCCTGGGATCATGACCTGAGCTGAAGGCAGACGCTTAACGACTGAGCCATCCAGGTGCCCCCATTTCTGATCTTTTATAGATAGATACTATCTTGCTCTTTTCTCATGTTTTAAAATGCAACTTTGACATATTTGAGCATTTTAAATAGACTTATTTTATAGTCCCTATATTTCTTTTGAGATTGGGGAAGAGATGGGTGATGGCTACATGTGATGTTTGTTGTGCTGCCTGAGATCTGCTTAATGTTGATTGATTCCTGTGTACTTTATAATTTTGGACTGTAAGTTTATTTTAAGTGGGTTTTTTGGGGGGACTCTGGGTGGCATTTTCTTTTCTTTTTCATTTATTTTTTAAATTTAATTTTATTTAAATTCAATTAATTATGATATAGTGTGTTATTAGTTTTAGAGGTAGAGTTCAGTGATTCATCAGTTGCATATAACACCCAGTGCTCATCACATCACGAGCCCTCCTCAATGCCCATCACCCAGTTACCCCATCCCCCCACCCATCTCCCCTCCAACAACCCTCAGTTTGTTTCCTATAGTTAAGAATCTCTAATGGTTTGTCTCCCTCTCTGATTTTGTCTTATTTTATTTTTCCCTCCCTTCTCCTCTCATCCTCTGTTTTGTTTCTTATATTCCACATATGCATGAAATCACATGGTAATTGTCTTTCACTGACTGACTTAATTTGCTTAGCATAATACCCTCTAGTTCCATCCATGTCATTGCAAATGGTAAGATTTCATTTTTTTCTGGGGCGCCTGGGTGGCTCAGATGGTTAAGTGTCTGCCTTCGGCTCAGGCATGATCTCCAGGTCCTGGGATTGAGCCCCGGATGGGGCTCCCTGCTCAGCAGGGAGTCTGCTTCTCCCTCTTCCTCTGCCTGTCCCCACTGCTCCTGCTCTCTCTCTCTATCTCTCTGTCTCAAATGAATAAATAAAAAATACTTTAAAAAAAAAAGATTTCATTTTCTTCTGATGGCTTAGTAACATCCCATTGTGTATATTTATATATATACACCCCCACCTCTTCTTTATCCGTTCATCTGTCAATGGACATCTGGGCTTTTTCCATAGTTTGGCTACTGTGGACACCGCTGCTATAAACATTGGGGTACAGGTGCCCCTTCGGATCACTGTTTGAATCTTTTGGGTAAATACCTAGTAGTCTAATTGCTGGGTCATAGAGTAGCTCTATTTTCAACTTTTTGAGGAACCTCCATACTGTTTGTTTTCCAGAGTGGCTGCACCAGCTTGCATTCCCACCAACAGTGTAGGAGGGTTCCTCTTTCTTCGCATCCTCGCCAACATATGCTGTTTCCTGACTTGTTAATTTTAGCCATTCTGACTGGTGTGAGGTGGTATCTCGTGGTTTTGATTTGTATTTCCCTGATGCTGAGTGATGTGGAGCATTTTTTCATGTGTCTGTTGGCCATTTGTATGTCTTCTTTGGAGACATGTCTGTTCATGTCTTCTGCCCATTTCTGACTGGATTATTTGTTTTTTTGGGGATGAGTCTGGTAAGTTCTTTATAGATCTTGGATACTAGCCCTTTATGTGATAAGACATTCGCAAATATCTTCTCCCATTCTGTAGGTTGTCTTTTGGTTTTGTTGACGGTTTCCTTTGCTGTGCAAAAGCTTTTTATCTTGACAAAGTCCCAATAGTTCATTTTCACTTTTATTTTCCTTGCCTTTGGAGACATGTCTAGCAAGAAGTTGTTGCGGCTGAGGTCAAAGAGGTTGCTGCCTGTGTCCTTCTCTAGGATTTTGATGGATTCCTGTCTCACACTTAGGTCTTTCATCCATTTTGAGTCTATTTTTGTATATGGTGTAAGGAAATGGTCCGGTTTCATTCTTCTGCATGTGGCTGTCCAATTTTCTCAACACCATTTGTTGAACCAACTGTCTTTTTTCCACTGGACATTCTTTCCTGCTTTGTCCAAGATTAGTTGACCACAGAGTTGAGGGTCCATTTCTGGGTTCTCTATTCTGTTCCACTGATCCATGTGTCTGTTTTTGTGCCAGTACCATACTGTCTTGATGTTTACAGCTTTGTAATATAGCTTGAAATCCAGAATTGTGATGCTTTTTCTGAGTGGGGTTTTAAGTACGAAAAATTCTGTGCTGTGTTCACTGGATTGAGGGTCTGTCCCTCCAGAATGATTTTGCTTTTGTTTCTGCCAGGTACCACAGAGATACTATCAGTCTCTATGTTGATTTCTTAGCTTGAGGATTTTGAACAATTAGTTGGTGTAAATTTTTTTTTTTAAAGATTTTTATTTATTTATTTGACAGAGAGAGACACAGTGAAAGAGGGAACACAAGCAGGGGGAGTGGGAGAGGGAGAAGCAGGCTTCCCGCGGAGCAGGGAGCCCAATCCGGGGCTCGATCCCGGGACCCTGGGATCATGACCTAAGCCGAAGGCAGACACTTAACGACTGAGCCACCCAGGCGCCCCAAGTTGGTGTAAATTTTAAAAGGGCAAACCTTTCTCCCACCCCTGGGCCTGGAACTCAGGCCAAGACAAACTCTCCACGTTAACTTTGCATTGGTAGGCAGAGTATTTTAGTCTACCTTTTCCCTGATGGTTGTTGGTGTTCTTTCAGATCTCTATCTCATTGGTATTGAGACTGGCAAATCCTTTCAGGGCAGCCCAGTGTTGGTTTAAACTTACCGCTTTCTTTTTAAAGCTTTGGGTTTTTTAAAGTTATAAGACTTACAATTTTGTTTCTTGGCTGTGTTTGTTTGAGCCATTGGAGAATTACCTTGCTTTTTTAAAAGCTCTGCTATGTATTTAAAGGGATGCTTGTTATATTTTATTTTGCGTTGCTGGGAGTTTTGTGGTGGCAGAATTTTCAGAGTATTTAGTCTGGAATCTTGTAGGAAAAGGAAATCCCTTAACCTTTAAGACACAGTTCAGCTTCTTCAGGAAACTTCCCCAACTTCTCAGGTGGGGTTAGGTGCCCCTTTTTCTACTA